GAAACCTTAAAGAGTTGTGAGAGCTGGCCAGGACAGAATGTTTGGCACTGCTCAACATGTATAGGACCCCGATAATGGTGGCTGAGAATGCAGACTCTGGATCAGGCTGCCCAGACTCCTCGCTCCTGCCTTTACGTGCTGAGAACACTTGGGAAAGTTGGTTCATTTCCTAAACCATAAAATGTGTATAGTAACATACCTACCTCAATTGAGTTATTCTGAGAAATAACAATTAAATGGGTGAAGCTATAAGGACAGAATCTGGCATATAAAAGTAGTTCAAGAAATATGTGGTGTTAGTTTTCAAGGCACTGAAAATAGCATGCATGTCTTCCACTTAGTTTTATGTCCCCATTCAAACTCGTTGCCATCAATTCCATCTCCTAGCAACCCTATAGGACACAATAGAACTGCCCCATAGGGTTTCCAGGGAGTGGCTGGTGGATTTGAAATGTCGACCTTTTGGTTAGCATCTGTAGCTCTTAACCACTGCACCACCAGGGCTCCATGTCCCCGTTACCCAGTACAATGATATTAACATAGTAGATGTTCAAGGAATAGTACTTGGTTAACTTGGTATTAAAATAAAAAAAACAGTTGGTGTCAAGTCAGTTCCAACTCATGGCAACCCCATGTGTATCAGAGTAGAACTGTGCTCCATAGTGTTTTCAGTGGCTGATTTTTCAGAAGTAGATCACCAGGCATTTCTTCCAAGGCACCTCTGAGTGAACTCGAACCACCAATTTTTAGTTTAGCAGCCAAGTGTGCTAACCCTTTGCACCACCCAGGGATGCCAACTTGGCATTAGACTGTTGGTATTAATGTATCTGTACTTCTATTACACTTTTACATTGTATAGTATCTTGCTTACAGAGAGTGGTCCAATTATCACCAAGGGAAAATTATAAAATTACATCCCTATCATATGTCTTTGACTACAAACATAGACATTTCAATTTGGACATGTCTTGAAGCTGGCTGTGGCATCATGGCAGCAAGGCTGGGTAGGGTGTGGAAAGAGACTATCCAACATGTGAGCTGCAGGTGAACTAAGAATGCTACTTCAGGAGCTGGCAATAGCTTGTTTTATAGAAATCCCCCAAACTCCTAAAATTTTACTCATATCAAAAATTGAAAATTTTTACTAACATACCTCGATATTCAGAAAAGACACCATTATAAATGAAAATAACTAGGACTCAGATTTAGTCACTCAACACACATTTGTTGACCATCTACTACTATGTCTGAGGCACCCTTCTCTGGTGGAGGTACTAAGGCACTGACACAGCCCTTGCCTCAAGGAACAGTCTGATGTGCAGCATTTCATGTTGTCCTTGTCGGTTGCTCAAATGCCTGAAGATTGTGTTTCTAAAGATCACTTTTCTACTTTCACGTCTGTTGGTGAGACAGCCAGGGTAACAAAGATAATGTCCACTCTCTCCTACCTGGATTGCATTCTTGCCAGTGTGGGGTACCCAGGAAGTGTTCACTGATACATGCCTCTATTCTAATCACAAATTGCTGAAGATGTGTAATATCCTTGGCTTTTCTAAATTAAAGATGTATGTGTATGTGTGTGCGTATACACTCATACACACACATATGCATATGTGTTACCAAGGCAGTGTCCATGACAAAGGTGGTATTATAAGTAAGCTAGGGCACAATCATGCTACAAAAATTTCCACCTAATCAATTTCTCATACAAAAAAATATTGTGTTTATATTTACGTGTAACATGAGACAGGGTTTTAATCTCATTGGATGTTCAGGTTAAAGATCCTAAATAATGAAATATAACAAAACAACTAACGGGCTAAGTTTTTCATTCAGAAAAATAAGTGCAACTCAGATTAGGTGTTGCTTTTGCTTGACATCAAATTCAAGGTGTTGCTTTTGCTTGACATCAAATTCAAATTTTACCACTTACTAAATGTGTGACCTTCAGCAAGGTAATGGTTGGTATCAGTAAAAAATGGAGATACTTGTCCCACAGTAGAATTATAAGGAATACGTGAGCCATTGTATTATGT